GGCTGAGGATACTTTCTGGATACGCCCATACAGAAGCAGGTGGATCAAGGTTTGAATCCCTTACTTATCTGTCGGAAGCTGAGTGGTCAAATTGCAAATTTAATTAGGTCAGGGTCAATTATTACATAAGTTTTATAATGTAACTTAATTGGTTTTTTAAAATCAATATTAATCCAATCATTAAAACTGATATCATTAAAGTCAACTGATTGGTTGATAAATTGGATCGATTTCGACTGCTTGACCTCAGTCCCAAGCTTCTGAAAATCCTTTAATTCTCTTAGAGATCTCTCTATCCAATATTTAATAAATCATAGACAGATATAGGACCAAAAGTCAGATCGAAAGGAAATACTATCAAATTAAGGAAGTGAACAATAACAGGTTAAAGGTCAACAATCGGCAATCAATTTCTACGTTGACGGAACAAACTGTCAGTCATATGTAGAGAAATGAAATGAAACACATGTGAAAGGAAAAGCCTAACAGTTATTCGATCAACCATGAATAAGAATCTTGGTAGAATCTTTTAGGTGTACTACTGTTTTTAAGAAGAATTTAGTCATACAGTGTTGCACTACACAAAACACTTTGTCTTCAATTACCGACCATAAGAATTTGCTGTTTTAACCTTCAATTGCTTTTACTAGCTAGATTTTCTCTTGTGCGCTTAAGAAAGGTTTTGATATTGTTTTTAGTTCGTTTCAACATGGTCTCCTGTGTTACATCAGTCTATTGTGCTTTAAAAATAAAATATAAACAGTCAAAAAATCTAATTCATTTTTGATTAAGTTGTTTGAATCTTCCATTGATATTTGAGATTGCAATTGATCAGTGTCTTATCGGTATATAGGCATCCTGTGCGGATTGCCTCGGTATTACCTTAAGTCACCAGCATTATAAGCGGATATGATGGTGTGTAGCAGTGGAATCCAAGAAGCGCGTTCCGTTCTACTTGGGACTAGTCAGAACAAGATAATGGCCATATGAACTCAGTAGGTGAGAGGATAATGCGATGGCGTTCGAAGTGAACGGTACTGAGTTGGAGTCCCTAAGTGTATTTTAATTTTGTTCACACAGCAACTAATAGTATTTTTTTGTAGTAGATTTCTGATAACTTGTGAGTTTTAAGGTATTTTCATTAATTAATTACTGATTATTGATTAATAGCACGTTTATCTGACCTTCAGCACTGATCCGATTCTATAGATCAAGTTGCAATGTAACTCGAGATTGTGTGAGCTGTTTTTACTTAAGATAGTTGGAACTAATCAACAAGAAATCCTTTACTTGAGTTTCATGCTAGTTGACTCTCATCCGCAAACCTTACTTACAAACTTAAACTAGCTGATACTCTTTGCATCACTCAGTGGTAACATGTAAGACTGAAAATATGGGTGACCCGGGTTTGAATTCCATAAAGAGAACCAGCACAAAACCTAAATGTTGAGTTTCCTGCTGACTACTTCCAATCGTAGATTGACATTGTATATATATATTCAAACCTTTCTTACAGAATTTATCCAATCTTGGAATAAGAACATTATGGTGCTAGCTAGAATTTGATGATAGATTTATCTAAATTTATCAATCCATTCAATTTATAGTAACTATATGAAATATCATTATTTATCTAACCATATGATTATTAATTATTTTTTCCATGCATAGTAACTAATAAACCATTATATAATTTAACAACTTTAAAACTGTTCACTTTGTAAATGGTATTAATTTGAATGATTATTTGTGAAAATAGAAAGAAAAAACCCCCACCCATATTCATTCATATAAACACACAAGTACATGAGTGTTGTACATTAGCTTTTATTTGAATGTACACAAACTATATTTTTATGATAATCATTCAAATCCCTTGATTAATATAGTTGTATGTACTTTACATGGTAACAAAAATAAATTTATTACCTATTTTATTTTAGTTTTATATTTTTTTTTCTATTCCATTTAAAAATATTGAATGATTTCCAGATAAATTTCTATAGATGTAACTAAGCAAATCGGAATATTTGAGTGATTACACCTTGATTTTTGATGGGATAATATTTCGTAACTTCACCCCACCCACCCTCTTATCGTTTTATTTTTATTCTCCTTTTTTTGTTTCTTCTTTGAATTTGAAATGTTTCTTTTTTTTTTTCCTCAAAAGAAAAACACAAAAGTATTTTTAGTTTTATTCTCCTCTTTTTTTTTTTTCTGAACAGTCTAATACTGTTTATTTATATAAGTGTACATTTATGTATTGAGTGGAATCAATTAGAATTTATCTGTTTCATGTTTAATAAACAAATTGAAACATGAATGTGTTTGCCAAATAGTTTGTTTTTTTGTTTGTTTTACACAAACGATAATCTCAATCCAAGTGGTTAGATCAACATTGATGTCTAATTTTCTATAATTTATTCAATATGAAATGATTTAGAATTTGAAATCAACATTAGATGAAGTTTTATTTTGAATCGTTCACATTATGGGTTTCTATAAGAGAGCAAAAACAAAGATTGGTGCAGTATAATGAATGCATTCAAGATAAGAACAAACTGTTTTTGAATACACAAAGGGAGTTTAGATTTTCCTATGGCTAAGGCTTCAATAAAGCTTAGTATACGCCCTTGTACACTTTTATACAATACCACCAAAGCCGAGTTTAAATCAATCTTATGCCTTGTTTCAATTATATGTTTAGCAATAGAGGATGATCAATGTTTATCCTCTGCTCTTATTCAGTCATTTGTTTGTATTTGTTTTTGCAGTATACTAAGATTTATTGAAGCCTTAGCCATACAAAAATTCAAACTCCCTTTGTGTATTCAAAAACAGTTTGTTCTTACCTTAAACCTATCCTGGTAATGAATGGATTCATTTTATTTCGTTAGGTTCTCATCAGTTGCTTACAACTTCAATTATTTGATAATCAACGTTAATACAGATTTTGACATATCTATACATAACAGAGTGATTAAAGATAAATATTATATGCATCATGATGTATCGAAGATTTTAAAAGTTAATAAGGTTATAAACATTTTGTTTTAGATAAATAAAGTATCCGAGGAAAAGTTCCAGAACATTGAAATAGTCATTAGAACTCATAGGGTTAACAAACATTAAATGATTGTGTATTGTATTATATTCATCTTTAATCACCTTCGTATGTATAAGTATGTCAAAATCTGTAATAACGTTGATTTAAAAAAAAAACATTTTAGGTTATAAGCAGCTGATGAGAACCTAACGAGATAAAATGAATCCATTTATTATTCTGCACCAATCTTTGTTCTTGCTCTCTTTAAAATAATAAATGGAACTATGTGTATCGGTTTCTATGATGTAGTAAACGTTAGATATTTAAGCAAATTGGAATAACTTCCCTTCTAAATATAAGTTCCATGATCAATAGCATTTGTTAACAAGGTATCTTTAACAGTCAGAACTATTTCATAAAGTAAATTAATTCTTCTGACACTGTAAACACAACTCAACTCATTGACTAGTGGTAATTAATACTGACATAAGTTTGACATTTCGAACTATATTCATTTATAAATGAACGATCTTCAACTACATAAAACTAGTAATAAAGTTCTTCAATAAAACTTTGTATCCAAAAAAAGTCTTAGATTTTATCAAATATAAAAAGTTATAACATCCAATTCTTCTTATATATACACACACATACACTGCTCTTTCCTTTAGAATCTATTAGTTTCATCTTTCTAAAGAATTGAAATCAGCATTCATTATCAACTATACCCATTAAAAGATGATTAAATTGGGTATAAGTTAAAGATTAAAAGTGTTTTTCAAGTAATTCAGTATAATTCTCTCTTTTTTTTTACTGTTTTTTATACTTACCTAATCATTCTCTATTCATCACTTGGAAAGGAATATTGTTAGTTACTTCAATGTTTGATGCATTACACTTAGTTACTGTTGTTACGTCTATTATTATTATTATTATTATTATTATTACGATTAATTGTTGTGATGGATTAATTGAATACCATTTCGTAGTTATGTGTTTCTTTTTTTTTTTTTTTGTTTTTAAAAAAAGCGTATTACAAGTGTTTTTAAATAAAATTTGACAGATCACAATTACTTCATTTAATCCATCTCTGTTAGTAGGATATGTGCATTCTCATCAGACTGCCTTTCAAGATTTTAATAAAGATATATAGTGTCTAACAATGAAATTTCGGGTACTTGTTTCGTTTTATTTTATATTCACCAGCTGAATGAATGTGGATTCCGGTGTTGATGTTCACTTTGAGACTTGAATAGCACCCCTACTAAGTGACTGGTTCTAAATAGCTGTTATTTTGTTCAAAGTGTTTGAAGCAATATATATGTATGCATAACAGTTAGAGTTTTCTCGTTGTTAATATTCGAAACGCCCACTGCTAGATTTCATTGCTAACCTGAGCCAATTTTTGTCAAAATACATCAAACTAGCACTGATAATAATCAGAAATAAAACATACTCATCTGGTTAAACTTATTCGATCAGCTCAGCTCTTATAGGTTTAATGAATAATTCCAACAAAAAGGTTGTGTTGATATAAACCAATTTGATCGTAGATCATCCAAAACATTAAATTTTTATCCTTCGTATCCTAATTGTATGTTAATTAGGAGAAATATCTTGAAAGATCGTTAGTACGAACTATTAGAATGAGGTGTCAAACTACTTTGAGATGATTGTGTAGTTTTCTTTAATTCTCAAGATGATGTCAAGTGACGACAAAAAGTGGATTCGAAATGATGAAGATTTTTTTCAAAGATGATCAAAGTTGAAATAATTTAATGTTTCCTATAAATTATTCAAAAGAAAGAACTACAAAGAATAAGTAATCATGATGATCATCAATCCTTGTAATCTAACATAAGGAATACAAATAAGTTTGGGAACTTTTTCCCATTTATCAATATTGTACAAAATCAAGTCAAAATATTTTTTTCATTATTTGTTAACTTGTTAGAGTTGGTGGCCTTATTTAAAGAAATTTTCAAATTTTGGTGATCAAATTAAATTACATATTATTACACCGATTGCTGGTACTGGAACATGTTGGCCAGTGGATAAATCTGGTCGTCCACATACTGTACTTACACAAATCAATACTCGTATGGCTAAGCTTGACATTCTTATTGAAGCCAGTTGGCGTTTGAATGGGAAACCATTAAATATTCATGGAAATTTATCTGGTAAGTTATAATTACTTATTTATAAGCTGCATTTTTCAGCACATAGTGAGATTATATCAAGTTAGTTAGTTATTCTTTTGGGATTATGTGAAACTGTTGTAGTGGCAAACTGTGTGATTATTTTATACTTCGTTTATCAATCATACAGATTACAGATACTGTAAAACACAACAATAGGCAAGACTTATGTATATTTCTTTTTTAGCGAAGTTACAAAGTATTTACATTAGACTTATGCATAGACTTCAATCATCCAGTTTCATCTTCCAGTGTTCTACAATTCGAACTGTTTTCTCTATTGGCCTCTAAGTGTTCTGCCAACGCTCTGCTTTTGATGTACTGAAAATGTTAACTCTGTTGGACAATTATCGCAATTTTGACACCATTTTCCTCTACACACTACCTACAACCTTCTTTGTGAGTAGCGTCCACTACGGTATTATGACAATCATCACATGTGTAAAGCATCTATCAATTTAAGAGAATTAGCTAGAATGGTATAACTTACGTACACGACTCAGGAGGTGTAACGGGTTAACGATGACAGAGAAAGGAGTTCAGTTGATTTTCACTATGCAAATATATACATTATTGTCAGCTATGTGTAGATTTAGGTAGTTTAAGCAGCTTAAGCGATGAAATGAATGCGTAGGCAGAGGCATACACGCAATCATCAGCATTCATTTCACTGTGTACATGTATGAAAGTTAACCGTAAGGTGATATACTACACGATGTGTTAAAAATAATAAAAAAATTTATGTTTACTAGATTAACACGTTCAAGCCTGTTAGGTATTTGGCATTTTATGGATACAACAGGCATTTCAATTAGTGTAGGATGTAGTTTAGTTTAAAAATTCTTGTTCTATGCTAAATTTATTATTGTTTATCATTTTGAATAGTGTTTGTTTCACTGTACTGTTAGTCTTTTCTTCAGTAATTATAAACTTTTGTTCACATATATTCCTTTTGATTCCTTTTTTACTTTAATGATTAATTGAATTCCATCCAATCCCATCTTGTTAATCTACTGCGGCAATAAAATCTAATGTGTATTTGTACCAGAATATATGTTGATTATGATTAACTAATTTATCCAATCAGTCAGTCAGACCAGGCACATATATACATCGGTCCAAGTTGCCATACCGTATCAGCACAACAAGATGAACACCGGATTCATAGAAGTAGTTATTTATCCATTAAGAACAATGAAATGGATTATCCAGTCTTTTATCTAAATTTATCATGGAATATTTCCAAGACTATTTAAGCTACTTTTAACCAATCATCTAGTCAAAAGACAAAATTGGCCAATATGTTTATCTTTTCAGTTTAACTCGAAATTCAATTGAATTATTTAACTAACTACAGAGTAAACTGAATAGAAAATTTAAATAATATACTCATAATTAATCCAATAATTAAAATAACCATTGAATCATATTCCATAATTTATGAACAATAATTTAAGTCAGTCAGGAGGAGGTACCTGAAAAGGAAATTGGATTAGAGGTGGTCTTAGTGACCTGAGAGCGTGACCGCAGTGCCCAAGGGACAGCTGCTTAAGGTCGGTCACGCACGACCTTTTTATGAGTAATTTTTGTGTTAGCTCCGTACTTGTTGAGACCTTACCGCCGGAGACGGATATCCGTGGGATAAGGCGAGGTGTGCATTTTTAGGGTCGACCTTTTCTAACCCCACCCCACCTTGTGGGAAGGCAGCATCGCTGTCATGCTGGTTGTCTGAAGGAAACACCTTACTGCTGTCACACCTCTTTGCAGTCAGCAGTACGACTTCGCCTTCGGACCTTGGTTTTGTTGCTTTTAGTCTTACCGCTCTTCAACCGACCTGTCTGGCATGGTAGGACCTTGAGGAACGGTTGTTCCAGCCAGTATAGCTCAGTTGCCTCATCACGATAGGCAAGCCCGACCACCACGTCAAGGTAGCAACAACGGTCAGGAATAATTTAAGTAAAGTAAAACATATACAACAAATAGAAGAATACAATGATCGATTTGTCTAACAAGCAAAAAAATGTAAACAGTAATACGTTGTAAGATATTCCCTCCCTATCCCTGAAAAAATAGTAACTTTTCAAAATACGATCCATTCTAGTAGGGTATATTCAATATGTTAAAATATAATCATTCCTTTATTTACTGATTATCTTTATATGTGTAGGTTTTGAAGGATTACGATCATTTGTTGATCATATCATACATCAACATCCGATTACTACAATACAATCTGATTTAAATAGTATATCAACTGGTACTGCATTAAATACTACACGTCCTGTAATCTATGTATACCCAGGACATGGAATAGCATCACAATCATGTGCTTTATTTGCTATACAAGGTTTTACAGCACTTTTAGGTGGAAGTTATACATCACAAACAATTCCGAATTGGTGGTCAATGGTGAAGCATTTACCAAAGTTAGTTTTAATAATTTTAAATCTTATTAGCTTAGGTTCTAACATGTTACACTATTCTCTATTGTTTTAGTAATTGAATTAATATGAAGATTTGTACAAATTTTAGTATTTTAACAATCGAATGCACGCGTCAATCTAAGCTAGACCGCCATTGAAAACATGGAAGCACTGGACATTAACACTGTTGGATGCCAGTTCAGTTGTCTGAAGGTTGTGCATTCGCACGCGAGACGGAGGGTCCTGGGTCCGAGTTCCGCGTGGGGGATCGTGAATGCGCACTACTGAAGAGTCCCATTTTAGGTCGAAAGGGTCGTCGAGTGCTTCCAGATTGTTACTGGTGTACTAGGTCATATCGACTTGTGAATTCAACTTTGAAAGTAAATAAACTCCCTACATTGTTCTTGGATGGTTAAAGCCATTTAGCATAAAGCCATCTGTTAGGTTTTCCGACAGTTCTGAGAAAGTTATTTCTGTACTTGGGATTTGGATCTTCATCAGTTAATGTCAAAATTACGTTACTTTTGAAGTATTAGAATTGTACATACTTGCTGTATAGATCCAAGAGAATACATTGTCCGAATATATCCAGTATTTATTTATTTATTTGAACATAAACATTGGTACAAGAGGGCGCCAAATATATATGCGCCATACAAAACAGTGAGAATTTGAAGAGAAAAAACTAATAACGAACAGATTAGTGTAACGTAGTTTAATAGTAATAATAATAATAATATTAATAATAATAATAATAATAATAATAATAATAATGGGGGAAACAGAAAGGTACAATCAAAAAAATCTTTTAGTTAAGGAAGAAGCAACTACTTTTTTATGAAGAAAGTAAAAGAAGGTTACAGCAAGATCGCCACTGGCTTCTATTCTGAGCCATATCTGATAACGTCTCTAGCCACTGTGTCGCACTATCTCTCAGACCCCAGCCAGCAAGTCTTGAAAGACCGACAGAAGCCAGCCCTTTGCAGCTTTCTTTCATAACACGACACCATGTCATATACTGACCAGCTCTCCGCTTTTTCCAACCAGTCCCAGGGTCGGCAAATAATGCACGACGTGGAATTCTCTGGGACGACATTCGTAGAACATGTCCAAGCCACCGAAGTTAATGTTTCAAGATGGTGACACCAATTGCATTATCGTCTCTGTGCCCGAACACACGATGCCGAACCTCTGCATTACTAACATGGTGTTGCCACTGGATGTTAGCAATCCTTCGAAGACAACGATGGCCGAACACAGAGAGTCGTCTAACATCCTCAACTCGGAGAGGTCAGGTTTCACAAGCATAGAGCAAAGCTTCTCTGGCTTTCACTATACGTGCATTGATCTCATCACTCACGCCACCACTAGCACTTATGCAGCTACCCAGATACACGAACTTCTCGACTACTTCAATCTGCTCACCATCCAGAGTGAGTACAGGATTAGAATCCTACCAGTCTTGTAGAAGTACTTTGCACTTCGGAGGTGCGAAGCACATATATATACCCAGTAGCAGATCCGAAATTTCATCTTTAACTATAAATAAAGTGATATAATAGTCTTTTAATATAATTCATTTGTTCTTAAAATAACAACTAAATACATGCTGATTAAAAGACTTGATCAAGTTTATTCGTATTGCTAAGCAATAATAATGATAATAACAAAGAGAGTAAATTATTTGGAAAGATTTAATGCTTAAATTAATATAGATTGAACTGTTGTAACAAAATTGTTAGTAATGAGTAAAATATGAACCTTACAATATTTATAATTAGAACTAATTACATTAAGTTCGACGTTGTTAGGAGAAACTCATTGAACATTCTTCAACACTATGGTGTATTTCGGAAGATTTTCAACATCGCAGGAAATTCATACGACAAAATACACTGCAAAGTTGTTCATCAAAGACAGCTGATTGATGCATTCAAAGTGAGAACTGGTGTCAGATAACGCTGCCTACTCTACCCATTCCTCTTTCTTCCGATGGATGACTGGATTATGAACACCTCCATATCTCAATAGAAACATGAAATACAACGAACAGCTCGGATACTGTTAGCCTATTTGGACTTCGCACATCACCTAACTCTTCTATCCCATACACATGAGCAAATTCAGATGAAGACAGTCAGTTTAGTGTCAGTCTATGCATCAGTAGACCTCAACATACACAAGGGAAAAAGAAAGAGAGAGTACTAACACAATCTCACTTGATGAAGAGGCTATAGAAGAGGTGGAAACTTCCACATATATGAGCAGAATCATCGATAAACAAGGAGGACCTGATGCAAATATGAAGGTATGGATTTGCAAAGCGAGAGCAGTATTCCTAAGTTAAAGAACATATGGAACTCAACACAACTGTCAATCAACATCAAAGTCAGAATCGTCAATACGAACGTGAAGATATTTAGTTCTTTAGTATGGAGCTCAAACTTGGACAACAGCTACAACCATCACCAAAAATTATAAGTAATTATAAACAATTGTCTATACAAGATACTCATTGTCCGTCGACTGGATACCAATAGCAACAGCCTATTGTGAAAGAGAAAAAACTAACCTCCAAGTGAAGAGGTAATTAGGAAAGGACACTGGAGATGCCTGGCACATACATTGTGAAAATCATCAAATTGCATCACTAGTCCATGCGTAACTTGGGATGCTGAAGAGAGAATGAAAAGAGGACGACCAATAAATTGGCATCAATCATCAGATAGAATCTTGCGATATTATTATACAACTTATTCGTGTATATATTCATCATCTATCGTCACAATTTATATTCAATATGCTGAATTTTTTTTAAAAATAAAGCCTATATTCAAATACTTCTAACAGATAAGTACATCAACATTTGTATTGTACGCATTGATGGAATCATATACAAATCATGTGGTTTCATTGATGACTATAGAAACTAAATAGGAAAGACAGAGAGAGAGAAGAAGAAGAAGAAGAAGAAGAAGAAAAGATTGAAGAACATTGTTGTGTTATAGATTGTTAACTTACTGATATGGAAGAAACCCTTAGGAATAATCAGTTAAATTACCATAAATATTCTTTATTCGATAAATTTTTTCTATATGAAGACGTCTACTTGAGTAGTATCTAGCTAATTAATCTGCTAACGTCGACAATGCACTGATTTCTAATGACAATATTAAAAAAAACTTTTCCATAGATTTGTCTCCTTTTTCTTGTAGTTTCCTCTGGTGATTAATATCATGAAACTGTCTTCTTTTTCTGTTTTTCAACTTGTATGAAACAAAAGAATATCGTTAAAATATATTGATCTCATTAAATTGATGTAATTCTCTAGCGACCAATTAAGATCGTTTTTATGTTCAACAACAGTTTTGAGGGTTTTTTTTTCGTTGGCTAACTAATGTGTTCCAGATTTCATCTAAATGTATTTCTCGTTTCTGTATCCTATAGATTAGATGTTACTCTTCTTCCTGATTGGTGTCCATCAAGTATTTTGACATATCGATTCATGACGCAATTATCAAAATCTGGACAGGATTCAATTGGTATATTGGGTGAAATATTAGTGCCACCGGGAAATACCTCCTCTACAGAAGGATTGTCCGATATATCCACTGGTTTAATACTAACTCCACCTTCACTTATATCAGGTCCTCATCAAGGAACTTGGGCTTCATCATCTAACTCTTCAAATGACACCATCCCTTCTTCTGTAGTTCTTTATTCAAAGTTGGGTTGGGGTGAATTAAAACTACAACCTTTGTCACATCGTTCTGGTCTTGCACTTATATGGGAATCAGTTGTACACGATTTTACTTCACAGCAACCTTTGTGCATTGTAATGCCATCTGTATTACCAACGAACACTAATCCAGTTCAAAATTTGACACGATTTATTAAGGGATTATGCCAAATTCCACAACTTTCTGGTCCAACATCAAATCGTACTATCAAATCAGCTGTTAAACTTGGAACGAAACAATTAGTGCGAGCTCAACCTGCACGTCCTTCGTAAGTTTATGCCTTATTGTTAAAAAAAACCCAGGTTTAATACAAATTTATGTTTGTATACACTAATAGTAGCTGTTTTTGTAATCGCTCCGAATGTATGATGTACTATTTCTAAAACTTGATTGTTTTATTGATTAGTTGTCATTAGATTCCATTTACATAGATTGTATGCTTAATATTTCCATCCATGGATTCGTATTTTCCACTGTAACCCGATTTGCTACGTGCAGTTTATAATTTTACATATCAGAATGTCAATATTTATACTGAAGTTTGACTAATATCAAACCCTAGATCATTATCCACTTGACTAATAAGTGATAATTGAAACTAACTGGTTTAACGAATATAGAGTTTATTATAACACTGGAAAGTTCCAATCAGTCTCAGTTGTTTATGTGAATACTGTTATATTATCTGTATTTATCCTATAAACATTGATAAGAGTTTGATGGTTATCAACCCATAGATTGATTACCGAAATCTCAATGGCTAGACTTGCCAATCATGATAATAGAGTCGAGTAAGGTTCTGTTCATTGGAGTAAACTCATTCATTAAGGTCTTATCATACCATGCTAGCTGGTAGATCATAGCCTTCATACATTCATCTCAGATCCTATAAAGTGTTTTTCTATAATGCATAATTTTCTGTCATTCATTATCATCATTACTGTTAATACTAAAAGTTTGAGAGTAACCGTTGTCAGAAGGGGTTGTGTGGAGGTTTTAGAAATTTTCTTTTTCTATAGTATTATTATTATTACATTTTGTTTAGGTGACTAAGTTACTTACTTACTTACGCCTGTTACTCCTAATGGAGCATAGGCCGCCGACCAGCACTCTACAACCCACTCTGTTCTGGGCCTTCTTTTCTAGCTCCATCCAGTTCTTGTTCATTTTTCTCATGTCTATCTCCATTTCCCGACGTAATGTGTTCTTTGGTCTTCCTCTCCTCCTTCGGCCTTCAGGATTCCATATGGGGGCTTGTCTTGCGACGCAGTTCGGTGCTTTCCTCAATGTGTGTCCTATCCACTTCCAGCGCTTCTTCATGATTTATTTCTCCACTGGGATCTGATTTGTTCTCTCCCACAGTAGGTTGTTGCTTATAGTGTCCGGCCAACGGATCCGAAGTATTTTGCGTAGACAACTGTTAATAAACACCTGTATCTTCTGGATGATGGCTTTCGTCGTTTTCCAGGTTTCCGCTACATACAGTAGAACTGTCTTCACATTTGCATTGAAAATTCTGACTTTGGTGTTGGCTGCCAATAGTTTTGTGTTCTAGATGTTCTTCAGTTGTAAATATACTGCTTTTGCTTTGCCGATCCGTACCTTCACATCTTCATCAGATCCACCGTGTTCATCAATGATGCTGCTTAGATATATAAAGGTTTTCACATCTTCCAAATTTTCTCCGTCAATTGTGATTAGATTGTTGCATGCTGTGTTGTATCGGGGAATCTTGCTTTTCCCTTTGTGCATATTGAGACCTATTGCTGCTGAGGCTGCAGCTTCACTGGTTGTCTTCTCCTCCATTTGTTGTTGCGTTTGCGATAGAAGAGCCAGATCATCTACGAATTCTAGATCATCCGATTGCATCCTAGCTGTCCACTGTATCCCGTGCTTCCCTTCAGATGTTAACGTCTTCATGATCCAGTCGATCACCAGGAGAAAGAGAAAGGGTGAGAGTAAGCAACCTTGTCTGACACCGGTCTTTGCCTCGAACGAGTCTGTCGATTGTCCTCCATGTACGATTTTGCAGTTTAATCCATCATAGGAATTCCGTATGATATTGACTATCTTCTGAGGCATGCCATAGTGTCGAAGAATCTTTCATAGTATTTTTCTGTCCACGCTTTCAAATGCTTTTTCGTAGTGATGTAAAGTGATGAATTCCATTCAATTGATTGTTCCACAATGATCCGTAGATTTGCGATTTGGTCTGTACACGATCTATCCTCCCGAAATCCTGCCTGTTGGTCTCGAAGTTATGTGTCTAAAGAGTCCTTCATTTTGTTTAACAATACCGTGTTGAAGACTTTTCCTGGTATTGAAAGAAGAGTGATTCCCCTGTAGTTATCACAGTTGCTGAGATCGCCTTTCTTTGTTATTTTGACCAGAAGTCCTTCTTTCTAGTCTGTTGGTACTTGTTCCTCATCCCAAATCTTATTGAATCTTATGTGCAGTATCCTTGCAGTTACCGATGCGTCTGCTTTCAGTGCCTCTGCTGGAATGTTGTCTGGTCCTGCTGCTTTGCCACACTTGATTTGTCTGATGGGCATGCTGATTTCTTCAATTGTTGGTGAGCGAACATCGATTGGGAGGTCCGTGAGTGGGTTCAGTGGGGCTGTTCGATTCAAGAGTTTTTTGAAGTGTTCTGCCCACCTGTTTCGTTGTTCTTCAATGTTCATGATTACCTTGTCTTTCTTGCTTTTCACTGGTCGTTCTGGTTTGCGGTGATTTCCAGAGAGTTTCTTTTTGACTAAATTACTATTATTTACTAAACAGATACATATTCATGTGATATACACATGATGTATAGAAATGTGCATGTTTCTTTCTTTTCTTTTCTTTACATATTCACTCACTCAAATACAATGAATTTGTTTGACTTGATATTTTGCAAAAATAAAAACAAAAAAAACTGAATAAATTTGTCATGGAAATGTTTTACTCATTTTTTTTGAATGTATACAAATAACCTACTCTCTCTCTCTCTCTCTCTCGTCAATTGTATCTAACTCTGTCTATCTCTATGCTATCGATCCATCACAGATGTAGATATTTGGTTGCTGGTTTGTTTGTTTGTTTGTTTCAATGAAGTATGACTCATCATTATTCAATATTAAATGTTTGATTTTCAATATTCAATTCTGGTTTTAGAATTGTATGGCTGTATAGATGTGTCTTGATATTTTGTATGTCTGTTTATCCATCTAATGTCTGTATGTCTGTATATCGTAAAAGGATTTTTAGATTAATCAATTAATTGGCAGATAAAAATAATGAATAATTTGGAATTTCCTTATTACAACATGGATAAAACAAACATTTCATTTAGTTATCAGAATGGGAAGATTGTGGAGATTTTAATAAATTTATAGTTGAATTCATGAATCAATAGAAGCTAGACGACCATGGAAAACCTGGGAGCACTGAACGGTCGTTTCGTCCTATTATGGGACTCCTCCGTGGCAGAGCGCATCCACGATCCCACCTCGTGAAATTTCGACCCAGGACCTATCGGTCTTGCACGCGAACACTTAACTTCTAGACCATTGAGCCGGTATCCAACGGTGTTAATATCTAACTTCAACCAATCAACGAAATTGAGGATACATTTCCAAAGTATTAGTGAGGAGCCTTTAGCAATGCATTTATAATTTCTGGTATAGAATGTCAAGAATATTATAGTTCACCCAATCCTCAAATAGGAAGTGTATAAAACTGTCTAGTCATAGTATGTCATGTCGGTATTCTGGGAATTCTATTAGGATGTAATTGGACGGAATTTCTTTACCTCCATTAGAGCCTTTGAATGTTTCGTTCCTTTTTCTAAGAGCCGTCACGACAACTAACTTAACTTGTGATTGTAGTTTGCAATTCTTTCAAACTTACTTTGTTTAATTAAATAACTAGATTGGTTCTACCTTTGTTTATTTTTCGAATTCTTAATACACCTGTAGAACGTACAACCGTTTGACGTTTCACATATATGAATAGTATTCATGATGATTTGGACATATCTTATTCATTCCTAGCCACCATCTATGTTGATATGCAGTGTTGATTTGTAAAGCATTATATAGGAAGTCAGCATACATGGCATTAGTTTATTCATTTATTGGTTATTCGTTGGAGCAGTGTTATTGGGTTGTACAAATTGCTAAGTTACATTCTTCAAGATAATCACACACTTTAAGTGATATCTGAATTATGTTTCTTTTATCTTCCTTTGATTTATAAGCTTATCATAGTTCCTTACTTCTCAATATGTCATCTTAGTTCATTGCTTACAAATTATATTGTTTTTATGTTCAGATTTCTTCTTACTACCGTTGATTGAATTGTTAGTTTAACTTCTGTACTTTTCATTTGATCAATTTTCTCTTCACTGTAACAACTTGGTCCAGTGTACAACCGATTGAATTAGATGTAATTCAAATTGTTCATTGAAATTCATTTACCATGGATAAGTTTATTGTATCTATCCATGAATCATGTTGTTTATATCAGGTCTAGTAATATTATTGCCTCAGTGACAAAATTGAAGCAAGTATAAAGGGGGGTCATATCTAAGACTAATTGGTTGAAAGTTAAATATTTTAATCATATAGAGCTATTATTTCACAAGAAGCTATTTGTAAGCTATTTAAGAACTTACTTATAAACCAAAGAAAATAGAACATCATACATCATGTATATGCTTTCAATGTATAATCATGCCAAATGTTAAAAGTATTGAAGGTTTTATTTGTTTGTATATAAATATGTTTATTAATTCTAACAGTTAACTCTTTCAATTAATTATTGTCATTCATTGAGTTCAATCTTTCAATGTATTCGAAATATCATTATTGTCATCCAAGTAGTTTACTTGATGGTGTATATTGTTATTCTTAATATCGATCAGATTTGTTGATTTGTTATGTAATCCATTTTGTTTTGTTTTGTTTACTGTTCAAGTAAGAAATAATAAAGAATACTGATCATCAATTCATTAAGTGAAATGATACCATATTTTGTTGTTGTAACTAAATAGATCATGAGATTTAAACTGAATAACTTATTATTTCAATGGTTAAGATCATGAGTCAGTTGAAGCTAGACCACCATGGAAAACCTGGAAGCACTGGACGGTCGTTTCATCCTATTGTGGGACTCCTCCTCAGCAGTGCGCATCCACGATCTTGCCCCCTGCGAGAGTCGAACCCAGGACCACTAAGCTGGCACCCAACGGTGTTAATGTCTAACTTCAACTAATCCACGAATTTGAACGACACGTCCACCATTGTCTTCAGTGAGTTGCTATCTCACAACAGATCTGGTTGAACTCCACTGGTCACTACTTCTTACTAGAGGTGTCCCATAATAGGATGAAACAGCCGTCCAGTGCTTCCAGGTTTTCCATGATGGTCTAGCTTCAACTGACTCATGATCTTAACCATTGAAATTACTACAATCTCCACAAAACCCCTTCTGATAACTTATTATTTATACATTTACAGTCTTCAAATGAACAATGATTGAAAATATCTGATCTATTAGTCTTATAGATTATTTTGTACATCTAATGAATTTGTTACCATAGAAATTGAATATTTTTTTCTTAGTTGATATGGTAAATAGTTAGTTAGGATATTTTTGTTATACCTTTTAGTGATGTTTCCGGAGTTGAGGGGGAGTACTAAATAAGGAAATATTTGAAACTTATTGAAATAACATCATTTTAAGTTTGAGCTTGGAGTTACTTATTCAGAATGTTATTTTTCTGCAGCCAGGCATTTCACTTTCGATTGATAATACATACTACTTATATCTATCCACATCAGTAGCATACACTACAATATTACAGTTTGTCACTTTATTGTTATTAATAACTCCATCTAATAATGCTCATTAGAGTGAGATTAATCTTATATAACTTGTTCATTACACTTGTTGTTAAGCTAATTTAAATAGAATTAAATGTCTGACTGCTTGGGTTGTCACGTGAAAGTCTGGACGGTGTCTGGTTCTCCTGAAAACCGATGTAAAATTACCTTGGCCCACAAGGGTATATTATATAACTGTGAAACTAACTGAAATGTCTGGCTTATTATTCAATGTAAAACAATTATCGAAAGTTCCATTTTTAGATCTTAAGTAAAGAAATCTCCAAATGCCTAGCCTAACTCAAAGTATAATCACTATAGAATCTAAATGTGTAACTCAATCATTAAAATTTTGAAGACTACAAACAACAAGTCTGTGTACATGTACTTTGAGTTGATTTAAGTTCTAGAATATAATCAATTTTCAGTTTTATTAATTCACTTTAAATTCTTTATTAACTAGATAATTATTTTTAAATGAAAGGAACACTTTGTAGGTATATCAAAATAGTATAGCAAGAATATGAATAAATTTAATATTTACTTCCTTACTTCTGTAAACCCTCGTGAAGGAGCACAGGTCAACCACCAGCATCCTCAATCAAACTCTGTCCTGGACAAACCTTTCTAGTGGTTTCCCGTTGTTATTCATTCTTTGCATATCTACCTCCAATTCACGACACAGTGTGTCCCTTGGTCTTCCTTTATTCATTCTCTCTTTAGGATTTTAAGTTATGCATTGCCTGGTGATGCAATTTGATGATTTCCACAATGTATATCCCATACACTTCCAGTGTACTTCACACCCCACCAATTTTCTCCGAAAACTTTGAAATTTGATCTCCAAAATTAATCAGCTAGTAACAATACATTTATGATCGAATGGGGTTAGTCTAATAAAAAAATTAAAAAACGAATCTAAAAACAATTCCGTTGTTTTGTCCTAATTTAAAACTCCCCTAAAATATCGACTCAGTAACTTCCACAAATTGAAACTAAAGAATCTTCAGGTCAGGTAGCAAGTGCTGAATATTTTTATCACTGAATAAGAATCGAATAATCTACATTCCCAAAATTAGTTGAATCGTTATATATCGTGACGATTACTTAATGCTGTCAGTGATTCACTATAACATTCGCGTAATGGTTATACTCTACTGGTTATGATTTCTCATTTAGAGCCTTGGAAGTCATTTCTAAACTAATTCGTTCATGTATTCTGTTCAGTCATTTGGTATCGAGACCCAGTCAAATCTGAGTGAAACTGCCATCTTGTTATTTAACCGTTTTTGTGTAATTTAATTTAATTACATTCAGTTTTATTGTGCCAAAGTTTTGTATATTTTTTCTTATTTTTTTGGTGTTATTATGATTATGATTATTATTATTTGAACACATAGATATTGGTACAACGATGCACCAAATACATATGTGTCACACAAATTAAATGAGATTTGTGTGAGAGCTATGATACTGCTCGGGTGTACATTTTGTTTGTAACATATTTTTTTTGTTTGACCTGAAAATTTTGGGAAATATTTAGTAAACAAAAATTACTTTTCTTCATTACCTTAAATATCATTATTGATTACATTTAGTTAAAGAGTTTTTGAAACAAATTTTTCAACTTTCATATGATGTAATATATTGAACATAAATATGTTCACTTTAATAAATCTATACGAATCATATTTGTATTGGCTTAACTTATGATACTACTACTAATAATAATGATAATAATAATCATAATACTACTGGGATACTGGTAGATCAGTAGTATTTCTTGTCATTATAAAATTTATTTACTTGACAACATAGTACAACATAGTTCATATTTATGTCATTGATTTGTATTGGCATTTTACTTTACATTTTCTGTAGTTGATTTAGTATCGCTAGCACTCACAAAACTCTGGCTTAAAATCATCAGGTTATTGAACTTTTATTGTGTTACTCAATTGTATTATGAGTAGTTGTTATGATTAATGAGTTCATGAAGAAAATGAATGGAATTCTGATCACTGGACTGTAGCCAACGATACAATGTTGCTGCTTGATAAAATGATACCCCAACAGGATATATACTTGGTCGACAAAAGTACATTTTTTTTCTAGCAAGTCAGCGTAAATGTTAGAAACAAAATTAGATTTGATTAAAAGACACTCAAAAGTCGGTGAAATTTCAGATCATTTTCTTAGGCCTTAATTGTTGTTCTTTATATCGATGATCAGAAATCGATAAAATCTGTATGTTAAACGCTTAAGATACTAACTTCATACTGATAATTTCTAGACTCATACAATCTTCAACCCTCGAATGCAGATTGAGTCTAGAAAGCGAGATTATGAGATGTTTAAGGTTAGTTTCAGAAAGTAGAAACTATTAGCAAAGATGCTACTTATTAGAGCTGGTCCAAATTAGTATTATTGTGGCCTGTTGCCATCACCGCACAAAATACATATTATTCTGGACCCTCAAATCTGTGTATTACTGCGACCATCGAAATATGTTAGTCTCATGTGACTTCAACCTATTTTTAGTTGTAAGTATAGCATGTAAATCTATACTATGATGTTACGTATTTCATTTTCTTTGCTTGTAATTGACCTTGAAGCAAAAGCTCTATCGAATGTCCCATCTTTGATCTTACTCACTGCTTTTTTTCTTATTATTGACGTGTAGTTGCATATTGATGGTCCATCTCTCTAGTCACATAGGTCCGTTTTTGTATCAAATGAATCTTCATTGATCCCCTATTCTGAAATCAGTCAACTTAAACAATTTGTATCAATAGTATAGCTAACAGATTCAAAAGAGTACAGCTTCTCGAATGTTCTGAGGTACTTTTTAAAACAGTTGACTTTCAGAAGATTTTTTATACATTCCCTTAAAAATATTCTATAAAGAAGAAAACATCCATAAATAGCCATTTCATCTTATTGGAGAAGTATAATTTTTTGGGTGGGATTCATCTTAGTTTACTACCATCGAAATATAATTTTACATTTAAATTTATACATACACTTATGTTTTTACTGTTCATTGTGTACTGACCTTATTTTTCTTAAACTTAACCATTTCATTACATAACATTTTGTTGAATACATCCTTACTTACGCCTGTTACTCCTCGTAAAGGAGCATAGGCCGCTCACCAGCATTCTCCATCCAACCTTGTTCTAAGCAATCCTTTCCAGCTCTTTCCAGTTGTTATTCATCTTTTTCATATCCGCTTCTATTTCCCCACGTAATGTGTTCTTGTTGAATACATAAGTCAATTGATAAAATCTTCATTCCTTTGTGTGTGTATATGTATGTCAGTCAGAATTAAGAAAGAACAGTTTACTCAATTACAATTTCTCTTTTCTTTTCTTTACCATAGAATAGAATAGAATGGAATAGAAATTTCCCTGGTTTTAATTCGATGCATTTTTTAATAAAAAAAGAAAACAATCTTTATTTGGTTGGTAACTATTTACAGTGTGTATAAAGGAAATTGAAATTGAAATCTGAATTTCTTTTTTGTTTTTTCTTTACTTCAATTGAATTTTTAATAATAATTTCAATGAATAAATGTAAATTTTATTCAAATTTCTCCTTTTTTTTTCTCTGTTTTTTTTTTCTTTTTAGTAAACCTACTTTACATACAACAGGACAGAAAGAGACAATTACATCAAAAACAGTTAATTCTGTAATGAATGTTAAGCCATCACCAACTAGACCTATTTCATCAACTCCTAATCATAATCAACGAACAACGACTACTACTCCATTGAAGACACCATCATTAGCAGGAAATCAATTGAAAAAACCAATTAGTGAGAATACAGCTAACTCTAAATTAATGAATAATTCCCATGGAGTTGATTCTCATCAAAAACGTCCATTATCTTCAGTAGACACAAAGAAGACATTTAATACATCGAAACCACATGTTCCAACAACGAAATCTGTTAATGGTGAGTTGAAAACAACTAATCGGCCATTGTCTGGGCCTAAAACAACACCGCTAGGCAAACCGAAGACTACTACTACTACTATGGCAGAACGTTTGACAGCACATTCCAATCTTGTTAACCAGCATGGATCAAAAGCTCCTCCTCGTAAATCAGAGCCAACAACACACCTATCAAATAAATTACAAACAAAGAAGGCTTCTAATTTAAATGTGACAAGTAATCGTGTACCAAACGCTAAACCTATTAAAGAAGAATTAGAAACAATTGAACAGACGGCAGAATTGCTTAATTCCTCCTTACCCCCTGTGACACTTCAGAATATATCACTTAATAATGAATTAACACCAGTCGATCCAATGTTAAACAGTTTGATGAAATCATCTATACATGAAAACTCAGAAAATCATTTAGACAATTTATCACTAACAAATCAGTTTGTCATGGCAGATAATGAACACATCATTTCAACAGGAACATCATTACAAAAGGAAGAAGAACCACTAGAATTAGTAGAACAGCCACAACATGAAGTAGAAGAAAAAGAAGAAGAGTATAAAGTACATAAAGTGTTAAAAGAAAATCAAATGCTGGCGGAAGAATCCGATGAGCAATTGACTATTGACTTAGAATGTGAATTAAAACCAGCTACTCCATTATCGTGTGATGACTCATTAGCCGAAAGTGAAGAAGTGGAAGACGAGGTGGTGGAAGAAGAAGAAGAAGAACATGATCACGAAGTAGTAGAGAAGGAAATGAATTCTTATAATCTAAATCAATATGAACAAAATCAAGTAACCGAAGATGGAATGGTATCTTCATTAGGATTTCATGATATGCAATCTTATAAAACACCATTTGATACTCCATTTGATGTAGATGTTACAGAATCACCAACTGTTTTTGAAACTGATGTTAATAAATCTGTAGGTAATAGTGTAGTAATTGAACAATATGAATCACAGCATTTAGAACAAAAAGTAAAAGATGAATTAAATAGAAATGTTGATATCGAAGATAACCAAACCTATGTGAATCATTTACAGGAAGAATCCTTACCATTCACTGTCAACAAACAGTCACCGGTCGAAAATTCTCACGATGTAAAGTATTTGACAGAAATGCAAGAAACGGGACAAAATGATAATATTATTGAGTCTGAATTCAATGTAAATAATGTTTTAAAAGAACAACAGGTTGCTGAACGCACCGACGAAAATTTCCAAGACGGAGGTGAACAGCGACGACTAGAGGAGGAGTTTAATTTAGGCACTCAAGACTTATCATATGAAAAAGAAGATATTATTGACCATCATTATGACAACTCTGTGAGTGTTATAGGAAATGGTTTATCTCCGTTGACCAATAAAACATTGAAGTTGGACGAACAAATGTTCCCATGTAATGATGATGCTTTTGTAAGTACACCAGGTGAAATGGATAATTCCTTTGAAAAGATACAAAGTCAACGACCAATAGAAGAAGGATACTATGAACAAAGTAAACAGTATCCAGATGAAGATGAGGCAATACAAATAGAAGATAGAGAAAAGTTGACAAGCTACTCAGTTGATCATTCGCAAGATGAATTATCCTCATTCCATGCTGTAACAGATATTGATGCTAATATAACTAGTGATTTGATGCCTGATTTTACTGATTCTCGATTTAGTAACTTGACAGAACAACCTCACTTTAAAGAAGAAGAGGAATCTGGAAACGAAGATGAAGGTGAAATACACTATCAGCCACAATCAACAGAAGAAACGTTTAATGAAAATATGCAGGATGTACAATGTGTCCAAAGTGAACAAATTACAGAACATTTCAACGATACTACAAGTCAGTTACAGGATCAACTATCTCCATCCACTTTTGAGAAAGAGGTAGTTGAAGAGCCTCATGAATTACTACAGTCCTCAAATAACTTAGACACAGAACAAGAAGTAATTGGAGAAGCTGATGAGAACGAAACTGAGCCTAAAATAATTGATTCAAATAAAATTGAAGGAGTAAACATTGTCGGATCATCTGATTTTCTCACAGAAGTTATTCCTTTATCTAATGAACAGAATAATTTGCATATCAATCAACCTTATAGTTATGTACCTGAAAATTATTCACTTCAAAATAATGATGATGATAATAATGATGATGAATTGACCAAATTTTCACGAACTGATGTAGTAAATGCAATGAATAATGAACCTGTTTACAATCAAACACACATCAATCTCATTACTGGTGAACAAACACATTTAACACAGACTGCAGAAGGTGAAGAAGAAGGAGAAGGTGAAGAACAAGTTACTAATCTTGATAATATACAATATCATGATGATGTTATAGATCATTCTTCTCATACACATTTAGATGAAGAAAGTGAGGAAGAAAAACTCGAAAAATCATATACATTACTAACGGCAAATTCTACACAGAACTACATACCTAATTCCATTGAAAATGATTATGAACAAAAACATGAACAATATCTACCAGATCAAGAAACACCTATTGATATGAATGATCTACAATTGGATCATCATAAACAAATTGAAGAAACTCATTCAGATATTGATGAAATGGAAAAAGAGTTTGTCATACCATATCAACAAAAACAAATCAATATTGAATGTGATGAATCCTCTTTAAGTCATAAAAATATTGATGACAATATGAATTATAATATGACAACTGATGAATACAATAGAACAATGAATTCTTATGAAATTCACTCACAACAAGATATTGAATCAAAGGTTGGAAATGTTTCTCTAGAACAAGATGCTCAAGAGGATGAGATGTTACCAGATCATTCATTACTTAGTACAGCAATGAGTTATCCTGGTGATCCTACTAAATATCAAGTTGATTCAAGTACAGATCAAATAATAAATAATATTCAAACTCTAGAAGGATTTCCATACAATAATCATTATTTGTCAAATGAAAGAAAAGTCGAAACAAATGAAATTGACGAAGAATCATATCAAAAAGTAGATTCAACAACTTACGAAGAATCCCATATTGTTAGTCATGATATACATAATGATATTGATAGTCCTGTTGACATTCACTCGAATTCATACCAAGAACTAAATAACTCATTGCATATAGATACTGCAACAAATGTTGAAGGTCATCACCAACAACAGTAAGTTAGAATTAATGTGTTGCGTTTCTATCTTAATCCTTATCAATACATAGATATATAAAAGAATAATATTTTTTTTGATAAATACTCATAAGGTTCAAGAGTTGTGATTCTAAAAATATGGTTGAAATTAAGGCAAATACGTTATTGGTAAAATATAATAAAACTGTAAGCAAAGATAGATGGTAGCTAATAAAGAGATCCAACACACTCATTTGGAACTCGTCAACTGGATGTACCTATATCCTAAGGTTGATGTCCACTCCGGCACTCGAACCCAGTATTGTTCGTTTCAAAATGCCATCGCGTCATGCACGTAGCTGTTGAGCCCAACTATCTACTGAGTTGTGCAATGGGGTGAAGTTTAATTCATTTGTATTGATTGTTTGAATCTTTCCACTAATGTTTAGGATTGAAATTTGTTAGTCTCTTATAGGAATATGTACATCTTGTGTGGATAACTTGGATCGTTTCATTAAGTTAGAAGTATTTTAAGCAGAGATAGATGTTGGTCAGAGGTGAAATCCAGTGAACACCAACCGTGGAAGGCTTGTACATTCAGCTGACGAGTTCCAAACAGGACAGAACGCGCGTCCTGGATTCTACTTCAAACCACTATCTAACTCTGCTTAAAATACTTGTTACTTAATGGAGATATCGAGACAACCTACACAAGATGCACGTATGCTGAAAAGAGACTGATCAATCTCAATCCTAAATGTCAGTGGGATGATTCAAACAACCAAAACAAATAAATTAAGATTAATTATGTTAAAATAACTTGTTAAGCACCGGATCTAAAATCAGTGATAAAACATTCACACAAGATTGAAAAGTCCGAGGTTAAATCCTTGTAAGAAAAAGGCTGTCAAATGCTCTCGGTTTCTTAGTAATTTCTCATCTGAAATCAGTTCATAATGAGAGGCCTTTCCGGAACCGAACTGATTTTCAGAATTAGTCGCTCTAAATTACTGTCCGGTTGTAAAAACTTTTGAACTTTTCAATGATTGGTTCTATTTGGTTCATTTTGTGTTCTCTATACCGTGGTTGTTCGTTAGTTTTTTAAAAGAGTAAGTGCATAACATTTGTAATACTTGAGTAAGATCAGAAATACATATGTTATCCGCAAATGCTATAAATTAGATCTGTCTAAATAGTTTTGATAAGTGTTATTCATGGCTGACAGAATGCATGTATTAGGATATATTTATAGATCAAAAATCCAAAAGAAATGTTTCTACGTAAAAGGATCATTGTCTTTAACCAGTTGATCGCACGTTTGAGCCTCAGTCCAGCTTCTTTCGACAGGTTGTATCCCTAGGCGAAACGCACATCTTGTGTCTCAAAGTCAGACACATTAAACTATACATGGTACATTAGTTGCAAATGTTAAAGAGTAGTTAATTTGATTAAATGATAGTCTACATTGAGATACTAAGTTTCCAATAAGAGAGTGACTAGCTTAAAGTATTTTAAAATCATCTGTATGATAATCCGGTGTACTGTCGAATTTCAGTTGTTTTAATTTTAAGGATAAGAATTTGTAAACGTTCTGTTTTAATTTCAATGGTTAAGATCATCAGTCAGTTGAAGCTAGACCACCATGGAAAACCTGGAAGCACTGGGCGACCGTTTCATCCTGTTGTGGGACTCCTCAGCATTGCGCATTCACGGCCTCGCCCCTTGCACGATTCGAACCCAGGACCTACTGGTTTTGCGCACGAGCACTTAACCACTAGACCACTGAGCCGGCCGGCATCCACTGGTGTTAATGTCTAGCTTCAACTAATCCACGAAATTTCCATGGTGGTCTAGCTTCAACTGACTGATGATCTTAACCATTGAAATTATTACAATGTCCACAAAACCCATTCTGTTTTAACTCGTTATTCCAAATTCCTACTACAATACTATTCAACGACTCCAGGTTTTGTTTAACTATTGGTGTTAAAGTGGTTAACCATATCGAGAAGATAATTTGTTTTAATAGCCTTACAAATTCAGACATTCTTTGATGAATGACTTATTGAAATATAAGGTATATTTGGGATTAATCAGCTACACCACTTTAAACCTCTGTTCACACACTGCTAAATAGTTCTTTTTCATGTCTTTAGGTAATAACACTATTGACTAGGTAGATAAGCTTACTTATTGACTAAACGTTATCATCATCCATTAATCTTCATAGAGATTACAACTGTAAACTAAAAAATTTCCCTCTCACTATTGTACTACACTTTAATTGTTCAAAGCTAGCGATACTATCCAATCATGTAAATGAAGTGATATTCACACTGTTAATTCAGTTGTTGAAAGTTATATGCTTTCATCACTAACTTATTTCTCTGGTTTGTTTAAATTATTTTCTGAGTTTACCCAATCTATATGTAAACTACTTGTTTTGAACTTAAAGTGGTTTTACTTTTCCTAATGAGATTTTGCATCTGAGAGTAAATAACACGTCACAGTGTTTTTGTGTGTGTGTGTATGTCTCTATGTGTATGAATGAATGTAAGATTTCTTCTCGTTTTTCTGTGAGTAAAGAATTACTCATTTCGCTTGTTTATTCTTATATCCTGTTAAATATGAGAAGAGATCTGACAATCTAATAATGGTAGTGAATGAGACCATCGATATTGACCTGAATTCTTTGGGGGGTTTCTTTCCATTTGTCACTATTGAAAGTTTCATGTGTAAATAAATTGGTTCTCTTCAAGTAGAGAGAGTAATGTCTTAATATTATACTGATAACTGACAAGAAATCTCAGTGTGTTCTTCTATATGTAAATATAGGTAGGTAGGTAGGTAGGTATGTATGTGTGTGTGTGTGTGTGATAAGTTATTTCCACCAACGAAAATACATCAGATTTTTCCGGTATCACACATCGTTAGTTTGTTAAGCCTTTTGAAATTGTTTAATACAATCATTATAAATTTGCATAAATGAATAAATGTGTTACAGATATTTATTCAATGGAATAAACTAACTATGACCTATATGATTATCGACAGTTATTATGATCACAGTATTTTAAATCATCATAATGATGTTTTATGATTTACATAAATGACCTGAAATATACTACTATTAAATTAGATTAAATTTAACTAACTTGTATAAGCATCGAAATATATTTTTGTTTTCAATAAATAAAAAAAAAACAATACAAAAAACAAAATGCAAAATGCAAATATTTTTTATTACAAATCATTGATGCATAGTTATCATGATTGTTGTATTTCTGTTTATCAATGAATTTATTTATTTTAGCACATAGATATTGGTAAAAGAGAGCACCAAATACATATGCGCCACACAGATCTCATTTGATTTGTGTGACGACTGTGATACTGCCCATGTGCCCAAACCGAACCAGGTGGTTACCTTAGGGGGCCACACCCGGAGCCTTTGACCTAAAGGTCTAACCCACAAGGCAGTGGAGCGTCGTAAGGAGATGCAGTCCCATGATAGCCGATGACCAACGATTGGTTCATACGCCATTTGTTCCTTCAGGATACTGGAGCCAGTCCATGTGCACCATTGGTTTGGGATCCGGTTAAAGCCCCTGTCGGACATTCGCTTTTCGTCTTCTGATTTTTGTAAACAACACCCCTGCCACGAGAAGGCAGTGAGTAGGACTTCCCTGGCAGAGGCTATATACGCATGGCCACGTGAGAGCATTTTGAGAGGGAGAACGGACTGTCCCCACTCTCGGCCGTACCAGGGCATTTGGGGGCTTATCAATGAAAGTTAATGTTCGCTTAAATTTAAATAATAGATAACATCATAACTCTAGTCTTATTAAAGAATTTAGAACATTTTTATGATGTGATGTTTCATGTTGGTGAACTCTTTGATTATTACAGTTGATTAGATCATGAAATCTCTATGTGTATGGTGTATTCTGTTCCAATAATATGTGTAATGATTATACACATTAGTTTAAATTAGTTTTCATCTATATACACTAGATTACTTTATGTATGTTTCACAGGAAATTTCTTTTGTAAAAAGTTATATTTAGAAATGAAAAACATTAGGGTTTGTAGATTTATGGTCAGTCTATCTTGTAATCTTTTTTTTCCCTACCATTAATATTATTACTATCTCTTCTTCCCTACGACTGTCTCTGCTACATTCATCTTGCAGCGTTAACTGGGTGTTTCAAACTAAAACAATACGCATAAGTGCAAGTTTCTACATTGATTATGACTGATTCACTGACTGACTACTATAACTCAAAGCTTCATAATCTTTTACATGTTTATTTTCTTTAAGTCTGACTTCGATATATCATCAATTCGTTCTTGTAAAGGGAAGTATGTTGCCAGACTATATATAGATATTTATGTTTCGTAACTTTTGTATCTTTGTAGAAATTAGTACAGAAGGTTTGTGAAGATTGTCTGATTAGTATTTAACATCATATATTAACTGTAGTTGCATAACTGTTGAGAGCGAAGAAGTATTGAATGACTGTTTTATTCAGTCATGAATATCCGGCACTTTAATCGGGTTGGTAGACACGGAGAGTTCACCTAGAGGAGTTGAAAAACCCTGATTCCAAACCAATGGTACACATGGGCTTCAGTATTTTGAGGGAACAAATGCCGTATAAACCAATCGTTGGTCACCGGCTACCGTGAAACTGCATCTCCTGACGTCACTCTACTGCCTTGTGGATCAGACCTTTAGGTCAAAGGCTACGGGTGTGGCCCCTAAGAAAACCACCTGTTTTCGTTTGGGCACCCGGGGAGTGTCCCAGCCCTCACACAACTCGAATGATTTATGTAGCGCATATCTATTTAGTGCCTCCTTGTACCAATATTTATGTGTTTAAATAAACAACATGTTCATGAGACTACTCAGCAGTGCTCACTTACAACCCTATTGAAGCGTGTACCCAAGACCTTCATACCTTGTGCCCTGCCTGCTACCTTCAAACCGCTGAGTTGGAACCTATTGATCGACGTCTACAAGTTCAACTAATAAACATTAGTGGACATTAGACATCCATTATCAAAGTTTGTTATCTCAATCCCAAAGTGTTTTAATTCCATCAGTTATGAGTTCTCATTTTTTCACCGGGTGTTTCATCTTGTGATCAGGTTATTCTTCAGAATTGACATTTGACTATGCAACCCGAATTCTTCAACATTTACTTGTATTTCATATCTGTAGATAAATTAGTATCTTTGCACTTTTTTATTTTATTTGAATAAAATTCACAGATTTATTAGTCCTGATTCAGAAATCTTCGATAATTCAACCATACAAGTGCAGCAACACTATGAAGAACGTGTACAGGAATGTGAACATCAGCAAGACGAACAGCATTCTGAAGCTGATTTATTAATTTCCAGTCTAAATCGTTCAGTCTCACCAAATTACAACATTGTCAGTTCAACACAACAACATTCAAATGAAGAAGAAGAAGAAGAGGATAGAGATTATGTTGGGGATGATACTGTTGTGTATCACAATGATGCGGTAATAATGAGTAAAGAGTCAGAAATAGATACTCATCAGGATCAGCATTATCAACAATTTGATGTAGATGAAAAACTGCTTGAGAATTCTACATTAAATGGATTTTCAAACTATTCTAACGCCGTCCACGAACAACAACACCTTTATTCAGAAATCCCGACTGATGACAGTGAAGAAACAATGATGCAGAGAATGACGATGATGATGTCAACAAATGTTGATGTAAATAATAACGATAATGATGAAATCACAAATGATACTACTACTACTAAAAGTGGCAATAGTCACGTCAATTTAGAGCAGCAGTATTTCAACGGAAACACTATTTATCAAACAAATGATAATGTAAACGATATCGATCATTCCATGCATATCACTCCAACCACTAATCACCATCTTCAAGACAGTGATAGTGTATATACAAACGGATATAATGTCTGTGCCAATGGTAATGATTATTCCAACTTGAAAACAAATGAGATCAATGAAAATGGGAATCAAGGTATTTTCTTTTCTTAGACGGTTTTTGTTTTGTCTTTCAGTTGCTTCTACTACCATTTTGTGTTTGTGTAAATCTGGAGATGATGACCTGGTTTAAATCAATTTAGATGACAACAAAAACTGTAGTGTATTGAATACATTTTATGTGATTGAAGTCAAACATAGTGACACGTGTTAGGTGATTAGGATTAGTCGATAGAAAACCATAGACCTATGTTTTTTGCCACTTGAGACTTTTCAACATGACGTGCATAAATCTTGATAGAACTAGTGTTTCATGGTAGACTCGCATCTATCATTCCGTTTAACTGGCTGAGGCGTTACTCTTGAGCTATTTGAAATTCGATTGATCTTCTTTAGGATTGAGATATATGTAGAAGTAGTTAGTCACTGAGTAATGACCAATTTCATGTTGGTATCGTCTATTCAGTGCTGTCCAAATCTTATGAATCATGTGAAATGGCAATTGGTAAGCCAAACTCTTTGTATTTATTGAAATTGAAATAAAAGAAATTCTTAAACATTTCTAAGAAATTCAATTGATTTTGTTTTATTTCAATTTTCCCATTGATGTTTAGGACTGAAATTGTTCAGTCTCTTATTGGCATATATGCATACTGTGCGTATGCCTCGATATTGCTTTAATTTGCAAGCATAATAAGCAAAGATGGATAGTGGCTAGCAGTGGAATCCAGTTTGACAGGCGTTTCGTCCTATTTGGGACTCGTCAGCTGGATGTACCTGCATCACAGAGTTGATGTTCACTCCAGCTGACGAGTCCGAAACAAGACGAAACGCGAGTCCTGGATTCCACTGCTAGCCACTATCGATCTTTGCTTATTTCTAAGAAAGATAGTACTATGATAATGAATTCAATTAGTATAATACATAAATAACTTTCAATTGTAATATTTTCTACTGGGAAATTCTCTCAACTTTATGAATTCAAAATTTTATCCAATTGACTTACCGATTACAGGTTTATATAGTCTATTTTGTGTTATGATATTTACATAAAGGTTAATATGACTACCATCCTATTGTTCAAATCAAGTTCAATGGTGTGGGATTTGAACATATAACCTATAGGTTAAATGAAAGTTTACGTTAAAAAAATAATGAAACACTAATCCATACGAATTCGAATCAATTTAAAATGAACTAACAACCATTGATATAAAACTAATTTCGGTAATCATAATAAAGAAAACTAATCACCAGGTACAAGAGTTTCCATTAGAGAGCTTATAGTAGTTCGTAAAAAACCTCATTAAATCACATAGTTATTCAGAATGTTTAATATGACGATTAAAACAATCCGTTATGGAGTAAGTTAAAACACTATGGTCGATAATAAATATCAACAGTGTAAACGTATGATATACACAATTTACTTAGAAATTAGAACTATACATAGATGGTGGAGAAGATTTGTAGCTCAGGTGGATGATTTTGATGGAGTTTTGTTCTCTGAGCTGGATGGTTTGGTTGTGGAGCTTTCATTGTTCTTCTGAACGACATCATCAGCACAGAACAAGCTGTGAAACGCATATGGAGAAATTCGAACACTTCACTTCTATCTGAAGTTTGTGCTGATGATGTCGTTCAGAAGAACAATGAAAGCTCCACGATCAAACCATCCAGCTTAGAGAACAAAACTCTATCAAAAACTCTACATAGAGATAGGGACAACTGTTCATTAATTATATTTTAAGGACTTGAATGAATAAAATAATCAATTAATACTCAAAGTATATCCACATCGTACAGTAAATAGATTCTGTTTATAAAATTACTGAAATTATGAACTGATTAATGTGTTAGATCACCATTAAAAACCTGAAAACACTGGGCTACCATCTTGCTCTAGTATGAGACTCTTTAACATTCACAATTGATTGATCACTGGGTGGTGACCAATGTCATACGTGTCTATTCCTTATTATTAGTGCAGATCGCAATCTATCGACCATGTTGCAATGTGGCCACCAGTCTAGATGACTCGACACTGCGGGCACTATTGTAAGATTAGATTATGCACCAACAAGCCCACCAAGATTTTAATCAAGAACATCTATATCTTGCGATAAGTACATATTTTCAATATTAGTCAATTTGTGATATATTGTAAGTAATAAAATCATGTACCACTTATGTCGATTGTTCTACTCCTAGTATAACTGAACTGCAATGGTTACCACTATCCCTTAGAACATCTGATACTCATCTTGAAGTGAGACAGTAGTAACCAATAGTTTAAAATTGATTTTATTGAAACAGTTTTATGGATAATCATGTATAATTTATAGGTGAAATTCGTCACATTGGGATCCTATGGAGTATTATCGAATCATCTTCTGGTGAAATTCTGTTTGTCTATTAAGATGATATTCCTTTTCTAAATATCGGTATATTGGAATAAAGTTTAATAAGTACTTTTATGTTGATAATCAGTAATTTATTGATTTATTTTGTGTATTGTATATTTAGATGAAATCTATCAGAATCAATGGAATAAGAATAATAATCATTATCTTTCAGAGACAGCAATTGATGATATGAACTTTTCAAAAGATTCAGCAAGTGATTATATGAAAGCAACACATATGACACATTCATGTCATGAAGAAGAAGATGAAGAACGTTCATCATATATGATCATGACTACAACTCCACCACCATCTGCTACATCTACTACAGCTACTATTACTACTCCATCAAAAGAGATGGAAAACTTTGGTAAATTTTTCATTGATAAAGATCAATTTTTACAAAATATACATCAGAATACATCATCTCATTGTAGTCCAAGTGAAGAAAAATTTGATCCATTAAAAGCTTGGGGTCATCCATTGGGTTTACCAGCACCAGTTCCGCCAACTACAAATCATTCAAAATGTAAGTTTATGATTATGTTTATTATCTTTTTTTTTATTTTATTTTGTTATAAGTAGTATAACATTCTAGATAGAAAGTAAAAAAAAAAATGATTAAACTTATTGAGAATTATTAGCTTTTGTGATTAGAAATATTTGAATTGGATAGCAACTAATTTCGAGACATCAACTTGATTCTCTAAAATCTTTCAGAATTCATTCTTGTGTCTTTACTCAACATGATGATGTGGTTTTTTAATTTTTTTTCAGTCTGAAAATTCTTGAATATACTGCGGTTTTAGAAATAAATAAAATGGATACCTACTAAAGCTGAGTCAAGTAGTTTTACATCAGCATACTATGGAGCCGCCTACTATTTATGCTGTCATTAAGTTACCTCAAGAAAATGTTTTATTCGATTACCATTCTCTAAGAAGCTAAATGATTTGATTATTAGTAAGGGTTGTGGAGATAGTTGAACTTCATTGAAATCATGAATTGATTCAATTTAGACCACCATTGAAATCCATGTCAGGAGTGAAGCAGTTACCAGCTGAAGACATTGGGAAGTTGTCACGCATTGTCGTGGATTGATTAAAGTTATACACTAACTCCGTTGGATGTCGGCCCAGTGATTAGGTTTTTTTGCGTGAGACCGAAGTTTCTTGGCTCGATTACCGAGTGCGGGGTCAAGGAATCGCACTACTGGGGAGTTCTCTACTAAGACGAAACAACAATTCAGTGCTTCCAGTTTTTCATTGGTGGTCTAATATTGATCAACTAATGATTTCAATAAAAATAAACAATTTGAATCCTAAAGCTTTAAGTCTGTATAGGCAACACCAACAACAGAATAGATTTCAGAAAGAAATTAGCTTTTAAATTTTATCCACAATTGACTGACAGTTTGTTCTGTTGACATTTGCATGTAAGTGACTTTTGTCATCGATTTTGGCGTCATTATCTTCACTTTTATTTTATAAGTAACTTTATTAAAATTAAACTGAATGTCAGTTTTGTCCCAAGGGGGGGAATTTTTCTGTTGATAAATATTTTTTCTTTCACTATAATATGCTTTTTGTTTTACTCTTAGATACTAGTAAAAAGAACTGTCTACCAGATTTAAGGAATATTGATATCATATTATGTCTATAGCAACATTTTTCAAGGTTTTGTTTTTTTTTTTCTTGATGAATCTATGTCAATTCATTGACTTCTAATACAGTCGGTAATATTTCTCAATTAAAATTAGTTGGTATTAAATTGAATTTGGGAATTGTGTATTTTTCTTCATTCAATTTTGTTTCTCTCATTGATGAAGAGTTTTCTTTAAACTGTCATTCATCAGTCATTAAATCTGCTTTCAGATGAATATCATCTTAAAACTTCAACATTTTCCCCTATGAAACTCGGATTATACTTCTAGACTAAATCCCATAGAATTTCAAATGTGAAGACAGTTTGTGTGTGTGTGTGTGTGTGTTGGGTTCCTCACTTATTCCTAACTGGAATTATTCACGTTTAAACATATGAATTTCTTTTGTTATTTATAATTGTTCTAGCCTGTAAATTAATCGATAGTTTACATTATGAGCATTGGTTTCCAGTAGAGTACCTAATTGAAATTATCTTTTAGTATAAAAGAGCTCATTTGTTCCACTTTCATACAGTTTTTAATCAATAGCCACTCTCCAATAGTCTACATCTCGATTGTACTATCACTTTTTCATTAAACATAAGCTTTACTTAAATCCTGAACTCGATTGTCTTCACATATTACAGCTTCTCACTAGATCATTTTGTATAATCTACAACTTTATATGGTTTTAAATGTGTTAGATAAACATATTTTGAAATGCTTCATAATTTCTATTCGTATTCTTCAAATGATGTGTCAATTCATGAGGGAAGGTGTCATGTTTAAACGTTACAAATGTTTACTTGATGATACATTGTTTCTATTCGTATCTAAAATTAATTGAATATGACGAAATCACTCATGATCAAGATCACATTTATCTACCTACTCATTTATGTTGCTAACGTCATTGTGATTATTATTATTATTATTGTTACCATGGTTACTATTGAACAATTTTTATCGAACTCGTACGATAGCGACTTGTCGAGGTCACTGGCTTTTTTTTTTCAAAAAAAAAGCTCAACAGTATACAAAAATGTGTATTACAAATTATTGAATACAGATTTAAACATATGTATGTGAATTAACACGCACACACACACAAACAGTTGAGAGGTTTACATTGGTTATTCAAATTTGATGTCCTTTGGAAAATAGTTAGAAAGCATAGGGTACCGGACAACAGTTTTGTATTAGTTTAAAATATCTAGTCAGTAAGTATTTACAAAATAAAAATAAGAAATCTACTGTTCGAACTTGTGATCTCGTGGTTAGAAGACTAACTATGTACCATACAAATATTAAGCTTCAGTTTATTGCCAACATATCGGGCAATCTTTACTCAACTTCAATGAGCCTAGCTATTTAGTGCTCTTCAGTTTTCATGAGTATAAGTTAACATATACATTACTTATGTTAGCTAGAAGAGAAACAAAATGAATGGATAAATCAATACATGGAATTAATTTATCAAATCGTTGTCTACTAATTTAAGAGATCAGTATGCACAAATTTCCTGTTCAAGATCAATGAATTCTTATGGAAACCATCAAGTGACACTAAAATCTGTGAGCGATAAAGCAGGTGTTGTTACGTCCTCTACTTTATTACAGCAGAATACAATATACAGCTAAAGGTATTCAAACGTGTAGAACCCCACTGTCGCAAATCAGAAGACGGAGGAGGTAGAAGTAGTGATTATTAAATAAGAATAAAAAATGGTTATTAATAGTTATTAGCGTTGGTTATAACATCAGCTTATCCGCAAGGAGGCAAATTATACTATCATCCAATTGTAGTATGCCACGTTAATATCCTTAAAAGCTCCATCAAGCGCTAATCGGATGAAAACTCTCCAGTTCTTTTAGAGCCTCTTGAGACTTTGTTATGCTTCCCGAAGCCGTCCAAACAGATGTATTCTTCTGTTCTCTTTTGAGAGATCTGGAATTTCAACATTGTTCTATCTGGTTTCCCAAACTTATGTTTTTTTCTTTGAATATATTGTGCTACTATTACCTGGAAATCTAGTTAGTTTTCCTTATGTGATATGTATGGTGGTGGTCACTTAAACTAATAATAATATCAGTAATTGAAATCATGAGTCAATTGAAGCTAGACCACCATAGAAAACTTGGAAGCATTGGACGACCGTTTCGTCCTAGTATGGGACTCCTCAGTAGTACGCATCCATAATCTCGCCCCCGCGAGATTCGAACCCAGGACCTATCTCCACAAAACCCCTTCTGATAATAATAATAATAATAATATGTTTAACATTGATCGATTGTTGAATCATGATTACTCATACTTCAGTTGTTTGATAAAACTCCAGAATAAAGCAACTATCCATTGGGATTTGATTTACAGTAATTTTTAATTTTAAATAAAAAGGAATATTCATTCGTACTAGTAATAGTTGGATGAAAATTTGATTTGCTACTAAGTAATGACAGGATTCAATTGTTTTCTTCCAGTCTTGTACAGTATGTATTTGTATGTCTATCTCCAGGTATGTGTGTGTACGTGTATGTATACTTGCGTTTGCGCATATCGGTTTCTCCGGAATGAAATTGGAATGATCCTTCTTAACAAAAATGAAATAATTAGTATATGATAAAAGTTCTTGTTCATTAATTTGATTTACAAAAAAAACAACCTCTTACCAGTGAATTCGAATAACATGGAATAGTCATGGTAATTAAAATGAAAAAAAAAAACAACAACAACCAACTATTCATTGTTATTGTTATTTCGATTAGTCAGCACCATATTGATTTCTGTCTATTATACATGTATATGTCTGTTGTTATAGTCTATCCCTTTTATGTGTGTACGTGTATGTCTCTGTGTATGTAACTGATCTTATGGAGGAGTGTGCGTGTATGTACCCAAATTTTTGTATTTGTATGTCTCTATGCATGATTAATGTGTCTTTTTTTACCTTAATCTTATTTAATAATAATCATTCAAATCACCTGTCCATCTATCTATTTGTTTATGTCTTCTATTTAACTTGTTTATTTGTATTTTATCCCCATTTCTATTCATTCATGTACATAATTTACACATTGGAAATGAGACATGGTAATGGTAAAATCATTAAAAATATAAAAAAAATTCATTTATATTATTATTATGATTTTAGTCTTTTACAATAATAATAAGAAGAAGAATGAAAACACAAAACCCGTAGTAGTAGCAGTAGTATTACAACCTGTTCAGTTTTTGCATAAAACCAATACATGTACATAAATATGAATGTGTGTTTGTATAGGAAAGTGCCATTGATTCTTATTGTGTTGTTTTTGAATTCTTTACTTTGACATTCATCTCTACATGAGTTGTCATGACATTTATCTTTTAAAGTGGTTTTCTATATATTCTCTCTCTTGCTGACCAATTTGTTAGTGTTATATTAAGAAGTTATAATTCCTATTTCGTATCACTATGCGATGTTTGTATTGTGTTTTTTTCTTTTGTTGGTATGTCATACGAGAATAAGTTATTTTCAGATTGATGAAGAGTGGGAGGGACAATGTAAATTGAATATTGTAGTGTTTGATTGCAATAGTATGAAGCTAGATTCACTAAATACATATATTCCTAATCTAGGTAACAAAGTATGAAGTAGTTTACATTTATTCTTAAAGTTTCATAAGCCTTGGTGACTTACCAGTTGATTATATCTCAAGATGGATTTGGAAATCTTGATTGACTTCGGCTAGTTTGAGCTACCATTGACAAAAAGGGACATCCATCTACCCAATTAAAAGAGGGAAATACAGCCCAGCAACCAGCTATGAAATATGGCCTTTGAAATTGGAAGGCATGCATAGGTGACTAGTAATTCACAAAAATATCTTGGAAAGACTGCCCACTTATGGTAGAACAATTGAGTGATTAGTGCTAAGATTAGATAAAGAGTATTAAGTGATGATAACATATTGTTTGATGAGGTTATGATTCGTTACCGACTGGGATGTCTATGCGTAAATATTATCTTAGGTAGGAGTATGCTAGAGGTTATGGGATCAGTTATTTAATAATCTATTTTTGTTTTGAATCTTGTTAGTATTTGTAGATTATCTAGTTTCGGTCCAAATGATTGAAAAGTTATATAATATTGCCCAGTCACAATGGCTCACCGTCGTTTCCATATTCTCAATATTCAGTCTTTTTCATTATCATTAGTTGTACGGTTATTTCGATTTCTTTTCTATTCAACCCGTCATGGTAATGTCAAAAACATGTGATAAAATTACTTAATTTCGCCTTTTACTCCTTGCGGAGCAAAGGTCCCCGAATAGGAGCCTCCAACCTACTCTCTCCTGGGCTGTGCTTTCCATTTGTTTCCAAGTGTTATTCATTCTTCTGATGTTTGCTTCCGATTCCCGGTGTAATGTGTTCTTTGGTCTTCCTCGTTTCTATTGTCTCGAGGATTCCAAGTTAGATCCTGTATTGTGTTGCAGTTTGATGATTTTCGCAACATGTTTACTATTCGCCTCCAGAGTCTTTTCCTGATTTCGTTTTCAGCTTAAAGCTGATTTTTTCTTTATCCCATAAGGTTTTCGCTGATGATATCCAGCTAACGGCTCTAAAGTATCTTGCTTACACAGCTGGCGATAAAACACTAGTCAACTATCAATCTATCTACCTTTATAGGCTATATTTTTGCTAGTCAGTGTTATTCATAATAATAATTATGATAATAATCAGTATGTTGTCTTACAGTTCTGTCAAGTATCCTTGGCAAAATTGCCAGCCGAATAATCAGTTTCTATTATCTTGTTTTTGAGCTAAACCAATGATAAGTCAACTAACACTAGCAACCTTCAGCCAACTGTAAATTTGCATTGATCCTCCATACAATAACTTCTCACTTAACCCTGCCATTTGAGTTAATAATTAGCCTCCATTTTATCAATCATCTGTTTCAAATATATGTAGATTTTATACAAGTAAATCAGATCGCTTGACGATATAAAATGACAAATAACAATTATACAAGACCAAGCTAAAAGTGACTGTGAGTAAGGGAGACTGTAACCCATACATTGGGAATTAATCAAGTATAGTAAATCACATATTAATAGCCAATAGATCAAATGAAATTATATCTATAACCTAATTACTTATTATTATTAGATTTATTCAGTATTATATTTTTGGTACAATATAGAATTCGAAACACAAACTATTTCAACAAGTTTCCATTCCTTATTTCTTGATCGATTCTCACAATAAATACTGAGTGATCAGCAGTTAGATGTTAACAGTTCACAAATCGACATCTGAATAGTGTTCATTCGTTTCAATGCTGCATACTGCTAGCAACCACGATATCTCTGATTGTACATTTTTGTGACTTGTACAGCGAATGATCGTAAACTTTTCATAAATGCACTTGAATAGGTGATGTGAATAATAGCCAGAATGATATGTTGAAACAAAGAAAATCACAGATGATTTTTTGAAATATCCAGATGTCAGGAACAGGTACCTCAGATGTTCAAGCAAACCGACATTGACACCATAATTATCTAATAAGAATATATACAATAATATTCGATCAATAATTCCTGACAGTTACTAACCATTTATCCTTCATTTGGATATAAAATCATAATAACAATAATATTAATGGTGATATTAATAATAATAATAATAATAATAATAATAATAGTGATATTAATAGTAATATAGTAATATAGTCACTAAATACTCAAATATCTGCATAGTTTCTATGACTTATTCAATTATCCAACATTGTTTTTTTTCAATGTTTTATATATTTAATGATATTCAGCAAATGTATTCAATGTAACATTCCAAATCAATCGGTTACTAAGTCAATATTGTCGTCATTTATATGTAGAGAAAAACAAACAAACAACCAAATGATTGTTTGATTAAACAAATGTGACATAACAAAATTTTGTATTGACTTTGTTTGTTTCTATGTGTGTTTCTATTATGTAAATGACTAAAACAGTTTTTTTTTGTTTTTTTTTAAAGAGAAAATTTTTAATCTTTTGAAAATTTCATTTGGTAGTACAGTTTGATTCATTTAGTTGTTTATTGACCAGATTGTTAATTGAATTACAATTTTCACATTTATCTAGTTGTCATTTATAAAGAATTTACATTTTCTAAAGATTCTTTTTAGTTGTTGTTGTTGCTGTTGTTGTTGTTGTTGTTGGTGGTGGTGATGATGGTGGTGTATAATGATCACTATGATCTGGATATAAGCTGGAGCAGATCATAATTAAAAACGGCTATCTCGTTCTCATTTGTGACTCTTTATATGAAAATTAAATTAAAGTTGAAATTATAAACCATTAGATATGATGTTGTCAGTGGCTCTTCTGTTTCGTATTCGGTCTGTATGTGTGTGTGCGTGTGTGTGTGCGTGTATTGATGATGAAAATCAAATCTGAATAATTTTAGAATGAAAATTTATTAGATTTTTGTTTGTTATGATTCTCATTTAACCCATTTTGTGTATACACTACTTAATTAACCAATGTTAACTATTTCATTGTTGTATGTTTATGAGTAGTTGAACTATCAGTGATTATTATTATCAGAAGGGATTGTGTGGAGATTTTAGTCATTTCAATAGTTGAAATCTCCACACAATCCCTTCCGATAATAAAAATCATCTGCTCACTAGTGATTGATTTAAAGACATACTCTTGTAGTTCTAGTGAGAAGCCGTTACCAGTGGAGTTCAACCAGGTCTGTTGTGAGATATCAGCTCACTGAAGACAATGGTGTACGGTGGTGCAACTTCTTGGATTAGTTGAAATTAGACATTAACACCATTGGATGCCGACTCAATGGTCTACAAGTTAAGCATTCGCACGTGAGACTAAAAGATCGTGGGTTCAAATCTCTCGATGCGGGATCGTGGATTCGCACTGGTGAAGAGTCCTGTACTAGAATGAAACAGACGTCCATTGCTTTCAGGTTTTCCATGGTGGTCTAGCTTCAGTTGATTCATGATCTCAACTATTGAAATAAAATTTTATTTTTTAACAGCCTTTAGGAGAAAATACACCGGCTTTTACTTCATTTTAAAAGTGAATAGATCTTTCAATTCAGTGTTGTTCTAATCTATTATATTTTCATTAGGTAAAGAGTGTCATCACTTATTAGAGAAAAGACATTTAACTATTCCAAATGACATTGATGTAATTATTCAACTTTTCCAGTTTTTTTTATAATTTACTTATATCATAAATATTTTATCTTGATTTATTGTATTTATTTTACCATTATAGTACATCAACAAACGAATTTAACTAAACGTGTACGATCAGCTGATACAAGTGGGAAAGCATTAACTACTGGTAAGTTTGATAATCATTTCTCATTTGTCTTATCATCATTGTTTAAAATATGAATTTAAAAACTAAAAAAGAAAATTTATTCTGGGAATTATGAGTTATTGAATAGTTATTTGGTTCAAGTATAAGATTCCTCAGCTATATTCACTCACAATCATAATCATAATTACTTCTTGACGTTTCATTGAATATAGACGTGATCAATGCATTTCAACTATATCAAACATGAAACTAATAAAACCGATATTAATTGATGATGTTTGTGGAATATTGAGCATTGAATGAAATTGGAAATGGATAGCACACTCCACTTAAGACCAGAATATTCAAGGGTTCGATTGTGTTTAGTACACATTTAGCCCAAGTCAGTCTGTGGTATAAAATGTGTCTATGATATTATTTTTGATTGAATATTACACCCTGTCACTCCACTATTTTTTTTTATTTGTGTTCATAACCGCAGCACCATAAGGTGATCTCTTGTTTTCCCCATGTCTCTCTCTCTCTCAGTTATTTGTATATACCTTTTGATATCGGTTTGTATGCGTAGGTGTACGTATGTTATTATGTCGGTAGATCTTCTAATGTTAATACGGATAATAGTGATTACAGTAGCGTGTTACTCGTTCTTTTCATTATCAGGCGTTGTCAATAATTAGTTTACTATTCCTATCCTTCCATTA